CTGCCCTCCTTCAACAGATTATTTTTCCCATATTGAATCGGTGACCGACTCCATCAGCACTGATAACAAACATATAATAATGGGTGATTTCAACACCAACTTGCTAAAGGATTCCCCTCAGAGTCGCAAACTTAAAGCCATCATGGACTCGACAGATCTCTATATTCTACCATCTGGTCCAACTCACCGCAACGTGGACACCGAAGATTCATGGTTAGACATCATTTGCACTAGTTCAGCGGATCATGTTATATATCATGATCAACTGGCTGTTCCCGCGTTTTCTCGACACGATCTTTTGGTCATATCGTATAAATTAAAGCCTCCCAAGCCAAAGCGAGTGATTGTGTATTTACGCAATTTCAATAAAATTGACACCATTCGACTACACCGCGATGCTAAGAATATAGAATGGGGCCCATTGCTGGATGCAAATAATATTGAAGACAAAATTGCTCATTTGAACACCCAAATTCTCTACCCATTCGATAGGCACGCACCAGTCCGAGCAGTCAGGTTACGCCGACCTCCTGCACCGTGGATAACCGACGAAGTGCAATGAGAAGAAGAGATCGAGCTTTTCACATTTTTAAAAAGAGTCGGAACAGTTCCACCTTTCAACAATATAAGCGAGCACGAAACCGCTGTAATCAGGTGGTAAGAACAGCCAAACGCCGCTACTTCACAATAGTATTTTAAACTCCTCTTCTGCAGATATATGGAAGTTCCTTAACTCCCTGGGATTTGGAAAATCACATTCCAATTCTCTAATCCCAAATATTTTACCCAATGACTTGAACATACACTTCTCTTATGCATCACGTCTGCATTTGTCCCCCAAAGCTACAACTTTCCAGGAACTTAATTCCATGCCTTTGTTATCATGTAATTCTTTCGACTTCAGTTCAGTGACTGACGATGATACTAGAAAAGCCATACTTTCAATAAAATCTTCTGCAACCGGCTATGATGAGGTGAGTAGATCTATGATACTTCTCATACTCGATATTAGATACTCCAGTTCTCAGAAGGGAAATCGGTCTGTAGTTCTTCAAGAGAGCATTGTCGCCTTTCTTAAAGAACAAGACCACTGCACTTCTGCTCCACGCCTCCGGAGTAGTGCACCATGGAGGACGGAATTGAAGAGCTTCTAAGAACTTCAAGTACCGGTGTCCCACTCGCTTTCAGAAGTTTAACAGCCATGAGATTAAGAGTGTGATCGGAGAGTTTTTGTGTTCTTCTGCGGCGGGTCTTGCAGAACTTAGCTCCGACCGCATGGACAGTTTCCATGAGCTTAGAAAGCACGAGTTTCGTGGGCTTAGAAATGACACGTCGAAAAGATTTAAAAACTTTAATTACACCAACATTTAATGTTGTACGCCACAGCACAAGGCATCAAGCCATTGCACTATTTAATTCTTTGCCTATCTCATTTAAAGTTATTTATTGCCGCCAAAAATTCCAAAATAAACTCAAATCATTATTAATTAAGAAATGCTACTACTCAGTTGACGATTACCTAAATTACAAAAATAAACTTAATGAATGTTAATTTTTTTTTGTTTATGTACTGCTTAATTTAATATAATCTATTATGACATGAAAGTATTTAATTATGACATGAAAGGTATGAAATTTATATAAGTATATAGAATGATTGTCAAATGATATTTAAATTTTATTCGATCTTAGTTTTATTTAAGTCAATTGCATGTAAACGTAATTCTTCATTTTGTGTAATTCATTTTCCAATACAATGTAATATTGTTCTATGGAATAAATCACTATGACTATGACTAGGGAACAAATCATGAGATCGCCAGCAGCTTCTTCCCAATAACGACTTAAAAATAAAATACTGCCGTTGAAGCTTGACAAGCTTAGGGGAAACCTATGTTCAGCTGTGGACTTTAATAAGCTGTAACGGACGGATTACGTTAATGGCGGTAATGTTGGTATTGACATAATAATGATGATGTACAAAAGATATGGTATATATTTTATCGTTTTTCTGGTACTCTCCTCTGGTAACTCTCACCCCAAAGACGTAATTGGATACTCTTACGTCGCCAGCACGTAACAAAAATTATACATATTTTATAAGTGTTATTGCGTATCATGGACATTTGCAACAAAAACAAAAACTAAGAAGGTACAGTTGCGGACTAAGATGTAATACTTCGAAGTCTGTAATTATACTGGCTTTCTATACCCTTTAGGCCGGAACATGGTTTTGCAAGCATTGCTATTTCTAGGTCTTGGTTCTTATCAGAAATATTTCTAGGCAGAAAATAAGTCCTACCATCCAGTAGATCCCTGATCGATTCTCTAAAAACGTTAAACAAGAATCAAGGGCATCTCAAGCAGTTGAAGTTGTAAAAAATACGCTATCCTATTCTGACGTATTGGAATTTGTATTTGAAGGTTAAATATTTGTTATGTGGAGCGCGTGAGTTGCACTTGCAGTTGATTAAGCTCCAAGTAGACGTAACGTATTATATTATACACATTCGGCATTTAGTTGTCAAGGCTCCATGTTCTTAAGTCTGCGACATATGTTATACACCGAGGAAGAGGATTATTCTGTTACAAAGGTCGCATTTGAGATGAATGGTAAAATTGGATTTTCATTTGTTTACCATTAAAATATTTTAAGCTATTTTTTATAGAATATGGCTGACAAATGAGCACATAGTCCACTTGATGGTAAGTGGATACTGAGGGCCATAGACACACATCTATCCTCAATTAAAAATCAAAAAGCAATTGCATTGTCACACCTAAGAACTTAGATGAAACCGTTCTCTATACTAAACAAGCGAACATAGCAGCATTAAACTGCTATTTTACGCTGGTATTCTGTGAAGGCGTGGTCTTCCCGCGGTCGAGCCAACCTATCCGTGCTTGGCTTTTTGACTACATGTAAAAAGTATATTCAGAGTCTTGAATGGATTTTTCGAGATCAATCGATCGCCTTGATCATCAATAGCCTTATCCGTTTATCAGCTAGAAGATTTAGACTCAGTGAAAAGACTTACCTAGAGGTTACTTGTGAACTCAATCTGATCCCAGGAGTGTGCGCAGGTCGCAGTCATGTAAATGACTTAAGACACCCCTCTCCTACTCGTTATCAGACAACAGATGACGCTCAGCGAGTCTCTTTGCTCTTTTGTGGGCATACCATGCACAGGACCGAAGTAATGCTTCATCGTTTACAATTTGTCATTTTATACGTGGTAGAGCCATGCTGCAGTTATATTAGTAGATTAGTAGTAGCACAAATGAGTCGGCTCGACCGGGGAAGGACAAAACTCTCACAGAATATCATCACAATTCAGCGTATAATATCAGCAAATAGTAGTAATAGTGTTTCGTATGGTGAGTGTAGAGAATCGGAGACCCTTTTTACTGGAAATGAGGCATTTCATCTTAGTCCTCACGGGTGACAACGCATCTGCATTTTGATTTGTAATCGAGGATAGATGTAGACGTACACTATGGGCCGCAGCAACCACTTATCATCAGCTGGATTGTGTGCTAGTTTGTCACCCTATCGTATAAAAAAATGCGTACAGCTGCAGAATATAATAATTTGACAGCGTCTGTTTGTCTATCTTATTATCGGATCCAATCCATCGTTCTTTCTTTCTTTGTCAGTAGCCACGCACTGGCTGGTTGAAAAGAGCTGAATGTAACCTCAAGGTGTGGCTGAAATTTGGAAAAACGTTGATGCATTCCCTCTTCCATCGCCTTCAAACCCTTCTTACACCACATAAAAAAAAAACTAAAATTCTATCAATATTTCTAATAATCTCACTCATTTAGCACCACCCGGGGAAACGGGTAGGGTGGGCCTAGGATTAAGTGGTCGAAGCCTACGGACGTGAGCGACTTATGTGATAAGAGAAGAGTGTGGTTTGCAAGATGATGTTGTGACCGAGGTGTGACTCAATGTAATGATTTATGAATAATTGTTACCTTAAAGAAAAGTAAAGATCTTTGTGTTTAAAACTATTTTCGTAACAAATTGCAAGAGAACTTTACATAAAAACCAACAAGTAGTGATCACTTTAGGAATGTAAGGCCGATATCTTCGCACTGTTATGTTCCGTAGGGGGTAGGCAAGGTCCAAAGAGCTAGCTACACGGACCATGTATGTAAGCCACAAAAATTGATTAAAATTGAAAATTGTGAAAGAGGTGGCCATACTATCGCTTACACAATCACGAAATCAATATCTATAAGTCACAGTAACACAAGTAAACACATTTTTTCTTTATAACCTATTTCAAAAAAGAGGAGGTATTCAATTCGATTCTTTGTTTTTATGTGTGTTACCTCACTTTTTTTCTGGGTAAACCGATTTTGATGTTTTTTTTTATTAGAATGCTGGTGATTTTCGCGTGGTCCCATAAAAATTTGATCAATATCTGACCGTAGTTTTTAAGTAATCCTTAATAATGCATATTTAATTGACTTCAAATACATTGATGATGTTTTCATTTTATTTATATTGAAGTTGGTTGTACAATTTTTCTAATTTTACCACTTGTGTAAGACTCAAATAAACATGGCACCTATGAAAACCACACCAACATGGCACCTCGTTATCAAAGAAAGAAAGAAAAAATATTTGTTTTTAACACACATCAGGTATATTGGTCACCAATCATATCAGTCCGTGGAATATTTGCTTTGTATTTATGTAAGTATTTACTGCCTTTTATCGCTCACTAGAGACTCGTTCACTATTACGCCAGGTATAACTGCGAGTAGATTAGGGCTGACATTTGTAGATATAAATATCTACTTAAACACGTTTAAATTTACGCAAATGGATAGTTTAGTTATAATAACGTGTAAGAACTCATTGGAATTCATTAAAGTCGTAGATATCTCGTTGGAGAATGACCCGACGTTTTGACGGCCGCATCTCCTGATATAAATAGTGAACGGTGTTGCGCGCGCCTCACTTTAGTTTGTTGTTATTGTAAGCAGTCATGATTTTTCTACGACAGGTTAGTTTTGTTTATAATTTTTATTATCAAATCTTTCATTTCCGTTTTATGTCTAATAATAAATTTTGTTAAGGTTTTTACTTAATTATTGTTCTTCTAATGTTTCAACGGAGCTTATTGGTTCGATAACTTAACTCTTTATTAGAAATGTGGACATGTAAATTATTAGAACTTTCAGTTTTTTAATTACTGTTTTTAATTCATTTCCGCTTAGTGCTTAATATGTTATTGTTCTCCTAATGTTTCGACAAAGCTTATTGGTTCGATAACTTAACTCCATAACAGAAACGTAGACTTGTGAATTATTAGAACTGTCAGTTTAAAATTATTGTTTTCAACAACTAAACTTGGTAAAATTGTTGTAGAATTGCTAAGAACTGTCACTTTTAAGCTATTATTTTCAAGTACAAGATTTTAAAATTGACATAAAAAGTAGATTCTGGGATTTGTTATTGTAAATGATTCACGTCACGATTTGTCTATAAGAGGTTAATTTTGTTTATAATTTTTACTATCAAATCTTTCAGTTCCCTTTGGTTCTTAATATATATTTTACTAAATTCTTATTGATATTTTGTAATTGTTATTCAAATGTTTTAATAAAGCTTATTATTTCGACAACTAATCTCCATAACAGAAACGTAGCCTTGTGAACTCTTAGAGCAGCCAGTTTCAAATTATTGTTTTAGAGAGCAAACTTCGTAGAAAGATTTTCTTAGAAATGTCAGTCTTAAAAAATTAATCAAGTACAATATTTTAAAATTGCTTTAGACGATAAGTTATGGAATATTTATTGATCAGCTAAAATTTCTTCAATTAACACATTTTTTTAATATAGAATAAGGGTGACAAACGAGCACACAGTCTTTGTTTAATGAAACACGAATCAAGGACCTGCAAAGAATGCTGGTTCGTCCCAGGACAAAGTTTCTTTCCGTATCAATAGTAAAACCTAAATGACTTCCAATAAGTATTTTTGTAATCGACGTTGAATACAAATTATGTTATGCTTCGACAACTTCAATCTCAACTTGTTTTTCAAAGCAGATCGAACTATGCCAATCGAAGTCATAGTGTATCGCTAAGTGCTTGAACGTGAAAAATCAAGGCTGTTTATCTAACACACAACCTAATACAGTTCTAGCGATTACGTTGATTGCTAATAGATATAAATGATATGTCATGTAATGATTTCTTAAATTTACGAGAGCACTACACATTAAACAAAACTATTTATACGGATTTATCGCATTTAATTAAATTATTTTTACGATATAACACATAAGGGGCGACAGAGGGACACTAACCAGGGAAAGGACAGTAGCGCTGTAATTCATTTGCCAAGCGATGTGGCAAACTGTGGTAAATTTTCCCTCTATTAGACAGGCTAAAAACATACTTCACCCCATAGGGTGAAGTAGTTCAGCGGTGGACTACTGAAAGGCTGTGACAGTAACAGTTTAAAACGTTTCTTTGACTAGAAAACAATATATCATATAGGTACTTAGGTTAATAAAAAATATCATATTCTCCATATCATAACCCTTTGCGTCTGTCACCCAGATAGGTAGTCAGATAACACGGACTTCCATTTGGCATGATGCTGACACACCTCCCTCGCCTACTTTATATACCAACGCATGCTCGTCGGTTAAGTGTACTCCTATTCTGGCCCATTTTTAATATATCGCCAATTTGGTCGATAAAATTTTGTCTAGGGCGTCCCTTCCCGACTCTGTGGTTTACATCTGCAACATAGATTTGTTTTATCACTCTCTATTCGTTCATTCTTCCTTCATGACCAAACCACCGAAACAAACATTTACAACAAAACATTAATTCTTATACAACATCATATTGCAAAACACACTTTTCTCTTGTCACACAATTTCTCACCCCGTCGTTCAGATTTAGCTCTAACATACTCTAAATACCATCTATATAACTACATTTCTACAGAATTTATTCTACTCTTGTGCTTCTTCTGCCACATCCAACTTTCACTGCCATACCTTAAAGTAGGGACTAACACCGCATTGTGAATTGAAAACGTGCCTTTTTTGACACATTCTGACTTTCTACAATAGAGTGTAGAGCCCCATTTACTCTATTTTCCGCATTCACTCGTCGTTCTATATCCTTATCATATCTTCCACCTCTGCTAAAAACACGTCCCAAATACACATCCACTTGTCCAACCAACTCCCCTTTTATTCTTATTTCACATATCGTTTTACTTTCTTTTCCCTTAATAGTGATGGTCACTTTCGTCTTACTTGTTTTCACTTTCTTAAAAAAAAAGTTACTTAAACAAATTATAAAAAACTTAATTATTAACGTTTTTTTATTTCAATCCATCATAACTTCGTTAACTAACAACGCTACTCGTCCCGTCAAACTGCTTACGATTTTGCAAGGTTGACCTTAAATTTCCGAAACTTCCTGCTTCAAGCAACTTTACCTCGAACTTAAGACGAGGATTTCATTACGTTAAAAAGCTATTAGCGTTCCCTTCTCCACTGCATAAAATATAGTAATCGCTTAAAAATGGATAACAACGATTAACAATTTTTTTAAATCCAATCGACTAAGAATTAAGAAAGTTATTGAGTATTTCATGCATGCATATATTATTTTCCGAGCGTATACTATTTCAAAAAGCAACAATTCTCGAGCTTTATCTAATCGTGTCCAAAATATGGCATTTTTATCTAACATGGCCTTAAGACGTGTTAAGCAATTAAGCTATTATTATCACTATATTTTTTTATTTATTGAATTTAAATATTATTATTTTAAACAATTAACCAGTATGTAAATTAGTCTATTTTAGATTGCGAAAAAATGTTTTTTGATGAATGTTTGTCATGTTGTAACGTATAAGAATCTATCAGCACATTTTGGGCCATGATAGTCGAAAACGCCAGGAAAAGCTAATGGCCTCCGATATTTATATATAACATATATCCGTGTCGTTTTCGTTTGAGTTGTTATCAGGAAGATGCTGCTTCCCATCGCGTTTTTCAGTTTCTGTTCTGTCTTACGACACTCAATTAACGACATGGGGTATTGGATATTCTTACACCGATTTATACGTGGTAGAGTCACGCTGCAACTATATTATGGTTGTAGCACGAGTAGGTCAGCTCGACCGGGTAAGGACCACGCTCTCACATAATACCAGGTAAAATAGCTGCTTAATACTGCTGTGTTTTGTATTGGGGTATAAAGCGACCCTTTTTTACTCGAAACGAGGGGTTCTATCTTAGTCCTCGGGGGTGACAACGCATCTGCGTTTTGATTCTTAATCGAGGATAAATGTAGATATCTATGGGCCACAGCATCCACTTACCATCAGGACTGTGCGCTCGTTTGTCACCATTATTGTATAAAAAACGGCCACTACATGGTAACGGTTCGCCAGACCTAAAACATCAAAACCAGCGACTGGCAGCAGTATGAAGGGTGCGAGTCGTCTGGTGCTGCAATTGTCAAGACACCTGCTAAGCGTGACGACTAAAGCAAATACTCAGTACCAGCTATCAAGCATCTTTCACGCTTATACGGATATTTCGTATCTGTTGTATATGAGATAGTTTTATCTATCAGATGTCACAAAATATTACGGTTATTATCCTCAGTCACCTTTTACGTTAACCGGCGAAGTGTAAAATCGCTGTCTAATAAAACGTATTGCAAATAATAAAAAATAAAAATATAAATTTCCCGCAGACTGTATTGTTTTATATTGATTTTTTTTATAAACGTTACCTCTATCCCGCACACTATCACCTCCAGGCGCCCATATTTCTCCTGTACTCTGAGGCAGTTGTAAAAACATAAATTTTACAAGGACACACATCCAGACCCGGAACAATTAATTGTAGGCCATACAAATATTTTTTCCGTGCGGGATTCGAACCCGCGGCTCTTGGTGCTGTAACTCATTGCTAAGCCACTACGCCACAGAGCCGTCAATTAAAATCAAATGTCCATTATAACGTGATAGAACCACGCCGCAGCTGTATTATGGTTGTTGCACGAATGTGCAAACTCGAACGAGGTAGGACCACGCTCTTATAGAATACAAGTGTGAAATGGCAGCTTAATGCAGATTGAAATGTTTCATATGGTGAGTGTAGAGAACCGGAGACCCTTTTTACTGAAACGAAGCATTTCATCTAATTTATCAAGATTAAAAACTTATCGGCATTTTTATTATTAATTGAGGATAAATGTAGACGTCCACAGCATCCACTTACCATCAGATGGACTGTGTACTCGTTCGTCACCCTTATTCTATAAAAAAAATATTTCCCTCTAGCAGGCCGCCTTGGCTTCTCCTGGTTTTTTCCCAATCTTATATTTATAGATATATCCTTAGAGTGTACCTATAAATTCATATTGCAAAAACATCACTAGCCAAAAGAGCAGTCAATGAGAAACAAAAGTTCAAGAAAATCGAAATAGGCTATTATAATTTAAAATCGATACAATTTAGACTAGACTAGACTACAGTAAAAAGAGAACTTCTATTTTAAAAAATGACTTCAGGAGAGATCATAATTAATAAACTAATTATAAAATAATTAAAATATTTTAACACTCCACGTTTTTTTTAAATTACAAGTAAATTAAAAAAAGTCGAAAAAATCAAGTACATAGTAAATTCAACCCGAACAGACGATACATAAAAGCTAGTTAACAAAAACTTCTAAATAAATACCAGTCTAATTGTGCAAAAAGTCAAAATGTTTATCCTAAAAGAACATTGTGTAGAAAGCATTACTACGTTTGAATATACTCGTATGTTTGGTGACACTATCCTGGACTTTTCCTTCATTTATTTATCAAAAGCTTTTTGAGCCAAACAACAGTAAATAAAACGAACTAATAGACAATTTTAGATAAAAATCACAGAAATCATAAAACATTTATCATATTTATGCGTTATGGCATTTATGAGCAAGCAATGAATGAGTATAAAAAACAGGATTAAATAAAAGAGTTTATAGTAAGCTCAGAGGTGAAGATAGTTAAAACTACGCTTACAACTCAAGCTTGATCCTCAGTGGCACAACTGCCATTTTTTACTCGTAAAACTTGATGCTTTACGGTTATTTAAAAAATTATAGGGATCCTGAAATTAAACAAAATATTTCAAGAATAAGACACAAGAGTCGCCCAGAAATCAATTTTTATTCTTCCATAAAGGAATAGTAATATCAAGAGATATGTTAGAAGACAACCGCGTAATGGCGATGTTGAGAGTGTGAAAATACTCTATATCATACCGTGGGTGTCATGAGAAGCGACAGAGGAAAACAAACATTTTACTTATAACAAACAGAATAATAAAAATTACGGGTGGCAATCCGCCTGACAATTTCAAATCTCCTTATAAGGCAATAAACGGGGAGACCTTTGTTCAGCGATGGACTTTGATAATGCGGTTGATGGTATACCACCTTACCATGCACAGGCTTCCACTCATTTCTGAGAAGGTTAGCTATGGAGCTATTAATCTGTTGCAGATTTCTTCACGATGTTTTCCTTCACCGCCAAGTGTTGTCAGCATTTAAAGTTGCAAGTAACGGTTTAATTGGTGCTGGCATGGATCGTACACGGGTCGCGTACTATATAATTTACAGCGAAGCTTTAAGCTGCCACGACTTAAGTTTATATATTATATTATCAAATATAACATTGAAATCCACTGCATAGTTGGTCTAGCGACCGTAACCCGATTGCTTATCACAAAGTCCTGGGTTCGAATTCGGGCTTGAGTCAAAATTAGCTATTGGCTTTTTCTAGTCCTACGTCTGACCTCTCACCGATCATGACAGATTATCGTCCTATTGGACTACGAGCGTAAGAGAATAGAGAATGCACCTGTGCTTCGTACACTTATGCACTATCATTCTGTCCTGCGCAGATGGCTAGTCTCCGTTGAGACTGGCCGCTGTGACCGAAATTCGGTCAGGAGGACATTGTTATTGCATTGATATTGGTAATAATAGAGAAGGAAATTAAGTTCATGTACAAGTAGCTGTCACATGTGTTATTCATATACACACATACATACATACAAGGTCTAGGCCGATATAGAAATGTCAGAGATAAGTAGATCAATGCAATCTATTGATATGTACATTGTCAAGTTGGAGGGAAGGTTGTTTCTTATGCTGACTATCTATACTCTAGCTCTAGTACAATATTGCACCATTTTGATTTAATGATTTCATTTTTTTTGGTAATACGAGTATTCTACTCGTAATTATCTACTTTTACGTGGAAGAGCCTCAGAACAGTTTTATTTGTATTAAAGTACGTAGTAGACTAAACCAGGAAAAGACCACACTCGAACAGAATACCAGCGTAAAATAGCAGCTTAATACTGGTGTATTTCGTGTGGTGAGTGGAGCACACTCGAACAGAATACCAGCGTAAAATAGCAGCTTAATACTGTTGTATTTCGTGTGGTGAGTGGAGCGGACCGGAGACGCATCGTACTGGAAATGAGGCATTCCATTTTAGTTCTTAAAGGTGACGACACATCTGCATTCTTAATTGAAAATAAATATAGATGTCTATGGGCCACAGGATCCACTTACTATAAAGGGGACTGTTACTATGAAGGGGAATAATTTACCAGCGTCTGTCAGTCTGATAATAATTGATGTTTTTAGGGCAAGAGTTAGGCTTTTGTTACGCTACGATACGGCAGTGCGAGTTTCCATTTAAGATCTTCCATTTAAGAAACATACATGGCGTTACGCGTCTATAATCCTCGAAGGGGTAGGCAGAGTCCAAAGAGCCGCAAGTTACTACAACCTTGTTAGCCAGGAGATACGAGTTTAGATGGGAAATTGTGAAAGGAGTGTTAGCTGCCTTGCCAATCTTCTACAAATCACAAACCCAATATTCCGTTAGTTACCTTTTACTATATTCTAGGCCAGTAGCACAGTTGGTATATTTTGTTATAAATCTCACTTAAACTTTTGCTGTTGTCAAGCACAAGCTTATAATAAGCAAAAGGAAAAAAAAAACAGTATCATCCATCAGAGCCCATGGAAATTCATTGCTGAGGCCTCCCCTAGACTATTATAGGAGGGATTTTGCTATAGCTGCCACGTTTACCAGGAGGGTTGGCACTGGCAACAACATTTTTTTAGTATTTAATAATAATAAGTCATTGGCAAAGTGGTGTAACGCAACCGTCGGAACTTCTCCGCAACCTGGATAGACTACAGAAAGGCATTCTACTCGGTGCCCCGTACATGGCTAAAGAGGGTCCTCTAGCTGTACAAGATAGACTGTATAGTTAGAGACTTCCTCGAGCAGTGTATGGGGCAGTGGAGTACGATCCTCTGTTATCTGGGCGAGCGGATGATGGCTGCGGAAAACCTCATAAGGATAAGAAGGGATATCTTCCAGGGTGATTGTCTGAGTCCAATCTGGTTCTGCCTCTCTCTGAACCCTCTCAGTACCTTACTGGAGGGCTCCGGGAGAGGATTTCAGCTACGGAAGGGAGAGACAAAAGTGACCCACCTTTTCTATATGGATGACCTCAAGTTATTCGCCTCCAGTCGCTCCCATCTTATGGAATTGCTAAACATCACTTATGAATTTAGCAATTCCATTGGAATGGAGCTGGGGACGGATAAGTGTGCGGTCCTCCATATTGAAAGGGGAAGGGTTGCTAACTCTTAGGGACTTATCTATGCCCCTCAACTTAAGGACCCTTTCCGAGGCTGAAACATACCAATACCTGGGTATGTCACAAAACGTCGGTATCGATGAGGCTGGTATGAAACAGTCTGTTTGCGACGTGTTTTGTGCACGCTTGACCAAAGTGCTTAACAGCCTTTTGTCCCGTGGGAATAAGAAACACACATATAACGGCTGGATCACGCCTGTTCTCATGTATACCTTTGGCATACTCAGGTGGACTCAGACCGAACTTAACGCCCTGGATAGAAAATTCCGCACTACCATGACGTCCCATAGGATGTATTATCCGAGGTCGTCGGTAATGAGGCTGTACTTGCCGCGAAAGCATGGTGGGGGTAGTTTTCTGAGAGCACTCACCATGCATAATCGCGAAGTGTGAAGCCTCCGTCATTACTTCCTGGCGAGATCGGATGATCCATTCTATAATGACGTCATTTCTAGTGATAAAGGGCTTACCCCTCTATCCTTAGCCAACGAGCAATGGCAGGACCCAGTAGTGCTTAGCATTTCCGACCGGGAGACCGTATGGAAGGAGAAGGAGCTCCACGGGAGGTACTACAGGGCTTCTCATGAGCCCTTCGTAGATACAGTCGCCTCCCTCAACTGGCACATTTCGGTGACCTCTTCGGGGAAACCGAGGGTTTTGTCTGTGCAATACGGGATCAGGTTATTAAGACCAACAACTATCGGAGATACATCCTAAAGGATGGCACCGTCGACGTATGTCGAGCTTATTGCCACCCCGGTGATTCGCTTAGGCAAGTCATCTCCGGTTGTTCGGTGCTTTCCAACTCTGAGTACTTGCACAGGCACAACCTAGTAGCCGGAATTCTACACCAGGAGCTCGCTCTGAAATACGGCTCAGAGTTAGCAACCCTTCCTCTTTCAACATGGAGGACCGCACACTTATCCGTCCTCAGCTCCATTCCAATAGAAATGCTAAATTCACAAGTGATCTTTAGCAATTCCATAAGATGGGAGCTACTGGAGGCGAATGACTAGAGGTCAAAACACATTAACACACCAAATACTAAGCGAATCACTTACCACCCATAGCATTGTTCTATGATACTAGTTAAAAGAGTAGGTAAACGTAAGCATACGAATAGTAATCGCAGCTTGATAAAGTAATTATTGAATTATGAGCACTTTATCTTCCAGATTGCCGTACTGATCTGCGCCTTAAGTGCATTGCTCGGCCTTACGTCAGCGGGACCAGACAGCGCCGGCATGCCTCCATTACCCGGACCAGGCCTCTCTTACGGCAAGTACTACTTACGCAATGAAACAAGCTTTACTTGATTGTATCTTTACAAATGGGATATATATAATACAGCTTTGGTCTGTTCAAATACTATATAATAGCCGTTATTAACGGTTTTTTAATATCGACTACTTAAAGACGAAGAAGTTTATATTATACAATAAATAATATCTTTCATTTGTCAATAGTTATTGTATAGTGCAGAAAGTGCGTCTAGTAACTATTATTACATGCAGGTTATGAAACATAAGATGGCTTAAAATTGGTATTAGTGCTTCACATAGTTCTATAGCGCAGTGACACCGTAGTGGGCACACACCCGACTCCGACTCCGACACCAGAACACGCCACTTCTTTGAATGTGCATTCACCCGGCCGCTCCATCGATATATGGACCGACCAACTGGACGGCCATTCGGTCGACACACTTAAATTGCTCTGTTTCCTCTCCCATACACTCTAAATGACCGAGTTACCAGGGGCACTTTGATTTTATTTCTTCAATGATGTTTGGTTTGGCTTTTTCGAAACATCTTTTAGCTGGACCAAACATCATTTCCAAGCCCTTCCTCCCGTTGATCTCTCGTCAATATAAATCGTTAGTATTAAAAATTATGTGTTTCAGGTGGTATACCATACGGTAGCATGAGCGGGAATGTCGCGGAGTATTTTAGACGACAAGCTCCATCTCTGAGAAGTTACTCGCACAACGCTGCAGCGAATAATGTGGATTTCGCACCAATTGAACAGTGGCTTTAATTTGAATCCACGCTAAGAATTTAATGCTTAGTACAACAGATGGCGCTCAAACCAATAAAAGTAAAATATTCAAAATGTTAAATGCACAACAGATAATTTATTACAAAGTTAATAATTTACGGTCCATTCTAGATTTAAGTACGTTATTTATAAATTAATTTAAGTAAAACGTGTAAATACTTATTGATATGGAGATAGTAAATTAATTTTCAATTTTATATAAACAAACTGGTACCTATTGATAAGTTATTATGGTTATTAAATGGCTAATTATTGTTCTTTTTCCCAACCTTAATATTTATTAAAAAGTTGATGGTAAAAAATACCTGCATATATGTAATACCTGGTATATTTTTATTATTTGTGTTATTTATTTAATTATCAAATTTTAATTATTATATAATTATTATGTATTGTATGTATGAGTACACTTTTGCGAGAACCTGTTTACGAGTCAAGGTCCTCTGCCATTTGTCCTTTAACTTTTGTAATATAATCTGAATGTAATTTTCTAATCTATAAATGTATGTAATAAATATAAAAGGGTAATAAAATGTATCTGAAATAATGTAAATAATTTTGTGATTTATTTAATATAAATTTATTATAAGTTTATTTTATTTTATTTAAGAGATTCCATTTTATATGCCATTGTAAATCGCAGGCTAAGCAAATGCGTATTCCCTACAACAGATGAGGTACACGTCCAACAACAGACTTTTAAGGACTGAAGAAGGAGATATAGAAGAGAATCTATCACCCTTTTTGTATCGTGCGTTTTATTATTAGGCAACCAAAGAGTATGGTATCTTTTTAAAATACTAGCAATGCTATTAACATTACAAATATTCCCTTTTACCACTCTTGGTAAGCTTAAAATGCTTGTGTTGAGAGTGGTTCACGACAGTAGTTGAATTCGAACCCACGACCTTTTGAGTTTGCGGTCCGCACCATGTAATTTGTTGTTATCGCTTCAAACTTTAATTATATTAAAGAGAATAATTGAGACGACTATGGGAAGGACCAGGAGAATTTCATGTTCCCTGCTAGATGGTAGTCTATTACTCCTTTTATGCTATATGATAATTTTCAGACCAGCTACGAAGAATATGTGTTGACCGTCTATCATGAAACATGAACAATTGCATTGCAGGTGCGTTGCCGGTCTTTTCAAAAAGAGTAAGCTTGTTTCTTGAAGGTCCATATTATGTCGTGACTCTGGTAAACGATAGACACTTGCCTAATGCTTTTCTTTATTTTAGTAATGAATTTCCTAAATATGAATATAAAGTCCCGTGGTGACTGATATATTATTATTGTTATTAAACATAATAGACATAATAGAGAAGTTGTAAAAGAAATCATAACATGGGATTTAAAATAAAATATGTGAAAACATAGAGGACCCAATCGACTTCAATTACCTGTTTACGGACTCAAAGTTAAAGTCAATTATTTTTGTTTGAATGAAACAAATGTTACGGATCTTATCGCGTTTAACTTTCACTTTTTAATTCCGGACGTCTTGAGCTTGAATAAAACTCTAATAAACTTAGAATGTACTCCGGTTTACTTGCAGAAAATAACCGGCAAAAAAAACGCTGACTTATTTTAATGCCTTTTTTCGCCTATTGTAGGTGTAACTGTTATATAATTGCATTTACAAACATGGCGTAGGACGGAATGACGATAACATATAATTATTTCAATATGACGATTGAGAAACAACAAAACAGTTTCTGTTATCGTACTGTGAAGTGATGTAGTTGTAATTAGGGCGTATTTGTTTTTAGCCTTGAGATTTTATAATTTTACATTTGGAATTATTTCAAATGAACTGTGGAGTGGCAGTGTAAGAATATCCAATACCCAAAACCGTCCTGTCGATGTCATAAAATAAGAAATAAGAAACTGAAACAGGAGATTGGCAGCAACATCTTTCTGATAACTACACAAAATAATAAAAAACTACGGTTGTCAACCTACCTGTCAAGCCTAAGAACTATGATAAATGAGGAGGCTTATGATCAACAGTGGACTTTTATAGGCTCTATGTGTTGTGTGCTTTGCAGTTTAAAAATAAATTACGAAAAAATCCGTAAAATAAATTTTATACAAACTTTATAACTTTTTCCGTCTATATTTTATACGCGTAATATTTCAACAGTAAATCTATTAACAAAAACCAACCACGCCTTACAAACAAGCGTTAGTTACGACAACGGGGACACAATATTTATTAACAATTTGTAGTAACTGTTCGTTTCCCACGCAAGTACCCGCCATTGTCGTGTAGAAACTACCAGCTTAGGTAGAATGCGCTGGTATTGTTCTTTTTAGGTGTTTTTGCTTGCATTGATATCTTAACTGATGATAATAAAACCATATGAGTGAAAATGAAAATTGTTTAATATATTAAAATATATATGGTTTTATACTACACTAGCGATCCGTTCTGGTTTCGCACGTTTGATTTCTAGATCTCGACAACGGCGCCACCTACCGGGTGCATGTATGAATCTATACCTATATATGCAATATATCATCAATACACACAAAGTAATTGTCAAAACCATTCCAGCCGTTTAGGAATTCAGTGATAAACACACGTACAGAAGAATTACATTATATATATATATATATATATATATATATATATATATTATGTATATAAGCAGTGTACTCATCAAATTTGCAGTGCCTGAAAAGGAAGTCTAAGTTGTAAGTACATTTTTAATTTAAGGTGGCCCTAGTCGATGGCACGAACTAAAATAAGTGGTGAGTAGGGTTAAAATGCATGCATCTCAGCTAACATCGCGTGCGAAAGCGAAAGGCATGATGATTTACAACAAAACGAGCGTGCGAAATTTTATAAAAAGACCTTTGGGAACCTGGATATCATGAAAAATATGTTGAATGCATCTGTTCAAAATAAAATTATTTGCACTTTTGAAAACCTGTTATTTATTTCCGTCCAAATATTTTTTGTGCGCGAATCAGACTCGCACTTGTCCCATTTTTAGTTATTAAATTGAAGTGACATATGACTCCTCAGTCCACGTGATGGGACAAGTGGCTGCAGCAGCCCATGGACGCCTGCAACAAACTCCAAGCAAAGAGGGTTCGAGATGTCACGTCGCTTCTGAAGGCTGAAGGTTGACTCCAAGAACTAGGTTTTTGTCATTTGTTGGTATGTGAATAATGCAGCTAATAGATATACTTTCCTCGACTGAAAATCTCTTACTTACACCTAAGTTTAGGATAGAAAGAAACGACGGTTTGGTATCGCAGTGGTTAAACGATTGACTGTGACGCTCCCTTGCCGCGGATTCAAACCCCGCACGTAACAAGTGTTGTATGGTCCGATGTGTTGTATAAATAATTGTTGCAGATCTGTGCAATGCAAAAAGAAAAAAAAATAAGATAACGCTGCTGTGTTTCGTATGGTAAATATATAGGACCGACAACCCATTTTCCTGGAAACGAGGCATTCCATCTTAGTCCTTACAGGTGACAACGCATCTGCATTTTTATTCGTAATCGAGGATAGATGTAGATGTCTATGGGACACAGCAACTACTTACCGTCTGGGGACTGTGTGCTCGTTAGTCACCCTTTTCCTACAAAAAAGATATTGCTTCCAATTGCCTACTAACCTATACTGTTATGAAATTGTAACATTCTGCCTTAGTTATCAGAGGTGACCACACATTAGCTTTATTATTTATCTACTTACTAACAGGTGGACTGCGCGCTCGGTTACTACTCTACTTCAACAAGAACAATTGCTAGAATAATAACATGGGGTACCAGGTGAATGAACATAGTAATGTCACCGGTGCTCTGAAGCATGACAGGAGACCTATTGGCAGATATTGCGATATATTATGTCACTGTAATAACTACGAGTGATTGTTCAATGTCTTGTACTATATCTGCACTGAGACGTTACATTAGCGATTATTTATTTAAGAAATATCAACCAATACATAGCCCCGTTCAATAAGCAGAAGTGGCAGGCCGTATAGCTTGAAGAATCAAGAACCGATGAGGAAAGTTCTTGATTTAAATCCTCGTACCTATAAGCGAAGTGTAGGGCTACTCACTTGATGGAGTGACGAGCTGGTAAGACTTGCAAAAAGTCAATTGTTGTAGGTGGTTCAGGGCCGCGCTTTGTTGCATTGGAGAGACCGTTATTCAGTGGTGGACTTGCAAAGGGCTGCAATGATGATGATGATGAATATAATTAAGTGCTTACATTAATTCAGTGCGTAATGTTGCCATACTCAACAACCCACCGCTGGGTATCGGCATTAGTAATCATTACAAATAGAAAAAATCGCGTCGGGTGAAATGATAGTGCCAAGATTGTTATGATATCCAGAATCCAGGCACATGAGCGGAACCGGGGTCACCTGATGATAAGTGTATGCTGTAGCCCATAGATATTTACATTTAACCTCGATTAAGAAACAAAATGCAGATGCCTTGTCACCCCTGAGGACTAAGATGGAATGTCTCGACTCCAATAAAACGGATCTCCGGTTCTCTACACTCATCATAACACAGCAGCAATAAGCTGCTATTTTACGATGGTATTAAGAGCGTGGTCCTTTTCGTTCGAGTCGACCCGTTCATGCTAAAACCATAATAGATCTGAAGCGTAGCTCTGCCACAAATAGAACTTCAAATAAAGAAAGCTATAGATGCAGCACAGGAAGTAATGTATCATGCCTGTTATTGAACTGGCTCCTTTAAAACTGGGACAATGCAATGGATACTTAGCTTGTCAGCAGGAAAAAGGTAAGTCACAGAATACATTAAGTGAGACGGCACAAAAATGCTGTGTTACGAATCATGAGAGATGCGGAGGCCTATTTTACTGATCACGAGGCTTTCCATTTTAGTTATAGGGGTGACAACGCATGTGCATTTTGATTCTTAATCGATGATAAATCTCAATCTATATGAACCAAAGTATCCATTTACCATCACGTGAA